CAACTTTCCTTCGTCGAGGCGGAGACCCAGAGGCGACATTGAGCTATGCTCACTGTGCGACGTCGGTGGACGCACGAGGATGAAGACTTCGACACCTCTCTATTTTTTTCTGTAAGGGTGTGTTCCTACGGATCTACGGTACCTATTATATCAGCTTAGTCTTTTGAAAAAAACACCTATTATATTGGCTTAGTCTTTTGAAAAAAACTATCAACAACTTTTTCCCTACATAGAGGTTTTCTTTAATGTTTTTTTTATTTAAAGGGTTATTTGGTTGTGTCAACAGAGTCGTGCTTCTAAAACCAACGAAATTGTTTTCGAGAGAGATGCTACAAAGTTGTGAAGAAAGCCCTGAAAATTCAAGCACATAAAAATACACATCTTTTTCCAATTTAAAATCATAATCTGATCTATGTGAAAAAAGTTACCCCCAAAAAAAGATTTTTAGTTTGAGAGTAGTACTACATCTCGACCGTAGTATGTCTAGTTGCAAAAAATAGTGAGCCCTATATTTTGAATAATGTCAAAATGGTATTTTGTACTTTCAGAAAATTCCAAAAGAAATTCAACATGTTCATATCAAATATATATATATATATATATATATATATATATATATATATCACATGTGCAAATTCTGGTGATGAAAAAAGCAACCGTACGAGTTACAGAAAAAAATAATAAAATATTGATTTTGAAAAGATGACAATGCATGTATTATTCACTATTTAGAAATCATCATTCTGTTAATCATGTATAGCTTACATGTTTAGGGCATCTCCAACCCGACCCACAAAATGGACACGGTATCCATCCACTGACTAGTCTGGACTAGTCCACGGACAATGGTGCAGGAGCCGGGCACCCAACCCCATCCCCTAACACTTTTTTGGTTTTTTAAAGTCAATGAGCTCAAAATAACAACATACTCCCCATGTCCCAAAATAAGTGTTCTGGCCTTTGTACAACTTTGTACTAAAGTTAGTACAAAGTTGAGACACTTATTTTGAGACAGAGGGAGTATAAAATTATAGATGATTGCAATATTCAAATGTGATTGTAGTTGTAATTTACATTACAATGCAACTAAGTTTTCAAGGAAATAGTTCAAACTTGAATTCAACTAGCACATATTTTCTAGTTGGCCCACAAATGCTCAATCAAATCTTCCTTAAACTGCTCATGGGTTGCTCGATGTCAAATTGGCTGATTCATTCGAACAAACTCATCAAACATGGCCGGATTTTAATTTGAAGTTGGTTGATTCATTCGAACAAACCTCTGACAAGATCTACACCGCGATCTTTCATGATCATGCTATGCATGATCATACAAAATATCATCACCTCCCACAAGGTCTCCGGATCCCATTGTTTAGTTTTCTCAAGTACCGAGTGAAGGCGTCCCGGATAAGGGGGTGCTCATCACGTCGGCTCATCTCTCATGGGCCAGGCCGAGGACCTACTAGTGGTCAAATGTGTCCTGTCTAGGCTGAGGCCCTCATCGTCATCCAAATGAAGAAGGGATAATTGTATTCATGTCACTACTTGTGTCCCACTCGGCTAACTTGCTCCTAGTTTTTGAAAATTCTCGGGTTTGCCCAAGTCCGTTTGCTCCTCTTATGTTTTTGCCCTTCCGCCACGTTTCCATCCAGTTAGTGCCGTTTGACCATGTGTTGACCGTCTTTGGACTTTTCTCTGGACCATTTTCCCCCTGCTTTCTCACTCTCTCACCAGACACTAGTCATCGTATAGGACTGGACACCATTGTAGAGATGACCAAAGACATTGTTGCGCATCCAAAAGCGCCGACGAAAATTATCCGCGAATAGGGCAACTGGGGCAAAGTAGTCGTCCATCAGCGTCAAACGCCCCCGGTGCCCTCTTTCGATTCAACACTCGATGACCCTTGAAATTGAGAACATGCTCTTCCACACGCTTCATGTTTGCAAGGACCGCATGCATATCACCGTTTCATCCGCATAAACATCCTAGTCGGACGACTCGACATAGTGCTCATGTATGTCCATGCCCTGATCCATTGCTCGAAGGGACAAAGTATTTAGCACGAGCTTTTCACCAAACACTTGCCGGTGTGTGGTGACCCTATTAGGGGCAGATGGTACCTACGCGGCGGACGGACGAGAGGTGTGGACCGACGGCGGAGGACAAGGGGCGTGCGACCGGGCGTAGTAGTTGAGGCCGCGGAGGTCCAGGAAGGGCGCGTTGGTAGAGCGTGGTGTTGGCGAGGGAGGAAGCGGATGTAGAGAATGAGGGAAGGATAAAGACGCGGGGTTTTGAGTTGGGCTTTGGGTTGGTCGGAGGCGCGAGAGTCGTATGTGGTAGCGGTCCGTACTCCCCCAAGCCTCCTTAGTTTGCGCAACATACATTCATATGATCATATGGAATTCTTTCTGAATTTTCCTAAAACTTTAAATGTTATTTCAAAACTATTTGAAATAAGGTGCTCCAAAAATCAACTCTGATATACTGGTAGGAAGTATTTCTGGAAAGCGGTGGCACACAAAAGGCGCCAGTCACTTGGACCCCACGCCACCCACCCGTGCTCACCGCCTGCCCCGGCCCCACCCACGCCGCCGACGACTGGGCCCATCCCAAGTTGTGGACCATCTGCCAGGGAGACAACCTCACACTCACAGCTCCACCGCCAGCCAGCATACCCGTGCCGTGCGAGCGGAGAAATGAAATAAAAATCATCCCTTTCCCCGTCTTCCGTGCGGCTACAGCAGTCTTCGCTCAGCTTCTCGCGCAGATTTGATCTGATTATTGGTTGAAAATTAGTGGGAAATCCAATCCCCTCCCAATCCCACCGCTGATCGATGATGCTTTCCGCCCCCACTTGCCGATGCTCCTCCGGTTTCCTCCGCGACTAAGCCAAGCCCCGGTCCAGGTCCAATGTCTTCGTCTTCGTCTTCCCCCCACCAAACCTCTGGCTCACTCCCCCCACCCATGCCGGACGCCCTCCGCTGACCGGACCCCTCCGCTCCTTCAACTTCCTCTCCGCCCAGGTACGTTCGCCCGGCAGCACGAGGCCTCTCTGCCTGATCGGGCGATTCATTCACGCGCTCGCTCCTGGATCGATCGATCGATCGATCCACGCGGTTTCGGGCCCCTGGAGTGACCAATCCATGTTCTTGCTGCTGCAGGCCCGGTTCTTTCTTCTCCCGCGGGACGGGATTCGACCGGCGGCAGCAGCTCCCGCTGAGGAACTCCGGCTGAACCCGAGGTAGTGTCTCGTGCTCCCGTCCGGATTCCCTCTGTTCCCCTCTCCTTCACGGGCTGGCTCGGATTGAATGCCCCCGAGATCGCCCGCTCTGTCTGTCTGTCTCTGCTCTGCTCGTGCTAGTGTGGTGTGGGAGGACAAGTGTCCGTCTCCTGGCCGATGCATCCACCCCCCATCCCTGCCCCCTCGTTCGTGCTTGCTCTGATTTCCGGCACCGAGAAACTGAAATCGTCTGGTTGTTCATACAGGTGATGCGCTCTGGATGCCGCCGAGCTTGATTGGACCTTTTCTCCGTTGGTCAGCCACGCCGCCGCCGCCGTTTCAGACTGGGCGGATTAAGCGGCGCTAACTAATAATCTTCTCCGCTTCCCCACCTGCGCGCTAACTGCAGCTCCAATGCCGCCAAGATTGTAGCGGACTTCGTCCCTAACCATCACATGGTGTGTCCCCGATTTTGCCTTCTTCCTCGGCGACTTGGCCCAATCCGCTTGTCCCTGACAAGATTGCATTTGGCGCAGCTGGACTGGATGGTGCCCCCGAGATTCAGATGCGGAGCCGGCACGCGCCGGCGGCTGGCCCCGCTGCTGCTGCTGCTGCTGGCCCTCTCGCCGGCCGCCGTGGCGGCGGTGGGCGGGGACGTGGAGTACCCGCATTGCAGCTGCGACGGCGGGGGCGGCGGCGGGTTCTGGAGCATGGACAACATCTTCCGGTGGCAGAAGGTGAGCGACCTGCTGATCGCGGCGGCCTACTTCAGCATCCCGCTCGAGATCCTCTACTTCGTGGCGGGGCTCCGCCACCTGCTCCCGTTCCGGTGGGTGCTGGTGCAGTTCGGCGCCTTCATCGTGCTCTGCGGCCTCACCCACCTGCTCGCCGCCTTCACCTACGAGCCGCACCCGTTCGTGCTCGTCCTGCTGCTCACCGTCGCCAAGTTCCTCACCGCGCTCGTCTCCTTCCTCACCGCCATCACGCTGCTCACGCTCATCCCGCAGCTGCTCCGCGTCAAGGTCCGCGAGAGCCTGCTCTGGATCAAGGCCCGCGAGCTCGACCGCGAGGTCGACCTCATGAAGCAGCAGGAGGAGGCGAGCTGGCATGTCCGGATGCTCACCCAGGAGATCCGCAAGTCGCTCGACCGCCACACCGTGCTCTACACCACGCTCATCGAGCTCTCCCGCGTGCTCGGCCTCACCAACTGCGCTGTCTGGATGCCCTCCGCGGCTGCCAGCGACGGCAAGGTTACGATGCACCTCACCCACGAGCTCCGGCGCGGGGGCAGCGATGAGGGGCTCGTCGTTATTGGGGTGGACGACGTGGATGTTGTCGAGGTCCGGAGGAGCGACGGCGTGAAGCTGCTTGGCCCGGGCTCGGCGCTCGCGGCGGCCAGCGGCGGGGGCAAGGAGGACACGGGTACCGTGGCGGCCATACGGATGCCGATGCTCAAGGTGTCGGACTTCAAGGGCGGCACGCCGGAGGTGATCCAGACGAGCTACGCCGTGCTGGTGCTGGTGCCTCCCGCGGACAAGACCTGGGGCGCCCACGAGACGGAGATCGTCGAGGTAGTCGCCGACCAGGTGGCCGTGGCGCTCTCGCACGCGTCGCTGCTCGAGGAGTCGCAGGCCATGCGCGACCGGCTCGCTGAGCAGAACCGCGAGCTGCTGCAGGCGCGTCGGGACACGCTCATGGCGAATGAGGCCCGGGACGCGTTCCAGCGTGTCATGAGCCAGGGGATGCGCCGGCCGATCCACTCCATCCTCGGCCTCGTGTCCGTGGTGCAGGAGGATGACTTGACGCCCGAGCAGAAGCTCGTTGTCGACACCATGGGCCGGACGGCCACCGTCGTCTCCACGCTCATCAATGACGTCATGGAGATGTCGGCCACCAACCGGGAGCGGTTCCCGCTGGAGACGCGGCCGTTCCAGCTGCACTCCATGATCAGGGACGCCGCCTGCGTCTCACGGTGCCTCTGCGACTTCAGGGGGTTCGGCTTCGCCGTGCACGTCGAGAACACGCTGCCGAACCTTGTCATCGGCGACGAGAGGAGGATCTTCCATGTCATCCTGCACATGGTTGGCAACCTCATCAGCCGGATTGACTCAGGGCACGTCACGTTCCGGGTGCGTGCCGACGACGAGGTGGCGGAGGACACGCTTGGACAGAGGTGGGATCCATGGAGGCCAAGCTACTCCAGTGGGTACTCGTCGGTGAAGTTTGTCATCGGGGTGAAGAGCCAGCAGAGCTCCGGCTCGATGATCCCGCCCCCGGGGCAGTTCAAACGAAAGCCGAGCGGCGAGGGCTTCGATCTCAGGCTGAGTTTCAGCATGTGCAGGAAGCTTGTGCAGGTACTGTCAACTGTCTATTTCCAACAAGCTCATTTCAAATTCAGTTCAAACTGAGAGCATATAAGTAACAGTATTTTTTTGTTCACTTGTTCTTGATTTTGTTGTAATGCCATCAGATGATGAGAGGCAACATATGGGCGGTGCTCGACGGGCAAGGGCTACCAGAGAGCATGACCCTGGTGCTGAGGTTCCAGCTGCAGCCACCGGTGCCACTCATGTCGTCCAGCACCAGCGGAGGATCGTTCGAGCGGCAATACGCGTCGCCGTCGTGCCAGCTGACCGGACTGAAGATCCTGCTCATCGACGACGATGACATCAACATGGTGGTCGCTCGGAAGCTCCTGGAGAAGCTGGGGTGCGTGGTCTCCTCCCTACCCTCAGGGTCGGGGTTCCTGAACTCCGTCGGCCCCTCGTCGGGCGCGTACCAGGTGGTGTTGGTGAACCTCGAGATGACGCGGGTGAACGCGCTGGACGTCGCGGTGAGGGTCCAGCAGTACCGGAGCGGCCGCTGGCCGTTCATGATGGCCATGACGTCGGAGCAGAACGCGTGGGAGAAGTGCGCGCAGTCGGGGATCAACGGCATCCTCAGGAAGCCGGTGGTCATGCTCGAGGCCAAGGAGGAGCTCACCCGGATTCTTCAGAGCGCATGATGCCGCTGTGGTTCGCCGGTCATTTCGCCTTCCTGCCGAGAACTCTCGAAATGGCGAGGAACTGCCATCGATCACCGGTTGGCGCTACCAAAGGGGCGATGCCCTTGTGAAATCTTTGATCAGAAGGGCCGAGGCGACGGCGAAGAAACTCGCATTGGCCAGCCACTGATGGCTTCCCTGTGTGCTGCTCTGTTTCTGCAGTGTTGCTGGGGAGGCTCCATATCAGTGGCAATGTCACTGTTCCACATATTCTAGCAGTAGATGATGGGAGGTTACAAGCAAGAGGGGGAGGAGCCTCACTGGTGCTGATGATACATTGATTCTTGATAGAGATCCAGGAGAAATACATGTGATGGTCTCATCACCAGTGGCAATAAGATTTTGTCTGACAGGAGAGGAGGGGGAGAGGTTCAGAAGTGTATTTAGAAAGTGGAGGAGAACTAATCAATTGCATGCCCAGTGGAGGAAGCATAAGCTTTCCTTTGAACATTGGATTCTAGTTGTAGGTATGAGAATGTAACAGCAACATTTTGTATTCAGGCATGCTCAATGAGAATGGATCGAACCATTCTTATGTCCCTCCATGATTTTAAAAAAAATGTGGTTGCTGAAGATGTGGTGCATCTTCAGAAGTTGTGCAAGTTTTTTAAGCATAGGGTGGAGTAGTAAACAAATGTCTGGATGCGAAAGGGGAGATATGGTGCATCCAGGAAGATCTTGTGGTGCCTAATAGCATCAGAATTATACCAAGATTAGCAGATGGTGAATTGGTTAATTTTGATGCTGCTGCAGTTCAAACATGTGCAATGAGAATGGATTGAACAACCACATGTTTTTTTTTCCTTTTGCTGAAGTTCAAAGGAAGAAGAATTCTTGTGTACCTCTTCCATGTTTTTTCAGATGTTATTGTTGTTAAAAAAAAGACCCCAATAACGCCCGAACTTTCGCCTTTTTACCATGGCAAATCAAACGTTTTCGGTGGCAATTTTAGTGACGCATTAATGGGAAATTTAGTTGACACACATGCCAAATCCGTGCTGGGTGTACTTTTTGCCAGAGAATTGCCGTGCGTGTCAGCTAAACTTGCCATCCTAGCATCACTGAAATTGTCGTCGAAAACCTTCGATTTTTCAACGTCAAATCCTGAACGTCCGGAATTTATCATTTTCATCAAAAAATGTTTACTGAAGATGTGGTCCAGAAATTGTAATTTTTTAAGCAGAGTAGTAAACGAATGTTCAGATCCAAGAAGAAAGATATGATGCATGTAGAAAGATCTTGTGGAGTCTATTAGCATCAGAATTATACCAAGAGCAGATGGTTAACTAATCTTAATGCTGCACGCGCGCAATGGTGAGTGAGTGAGGTGGTTGACCTGAGAAGAGGCAGACATTGATCTCGAGTTAAGGATCGGGAGCACGTGGTCGGTCACGTGCGATGGTGAGTGAGATCGAGGTGACAAGAAAAGCCAAGCACGAGGCCCGCATCATCCGATCGAGATATATACTAGCTCTAATCTCAGACGATAAATCGCGGATGGACATGCCATTACGCGCTGCTGATATCCATACCGCACGTCGCCGTGGGATTCGTGCAACATTAATACGCTTCGGCTATATAATCAGTTCACTTATTTGTATAGCATTCAGTATTTACGTAGTATTGTCACTGACACATCCCGTGTATTTAACGCACCATCTTTAACACGCATAATCAATGCCTAGCAGAATTTAAATGCACCATTGATTGAACGTGGCTACATCTAAATTGATGGCATTTAAGGCTGGACAACAGTCACATACACGTACACCACTAACTCACCGAGTACGAAGCTAGTGTTCCGTCCGAACAGTGTCAAACAACAAGAAACAGTTGAGCAAGTGCATGCTACGTGAATAGCAAGTGATAGCTTAGCTGAGGCAACATTGTCAACACATAGGTAATAATGCAGTATTAATATACGCATGGCTCAGATGAATTGATACACATGGCTCTAATGAATTGGTACACCAGTACACCCCACACAAACTGAACTTGGCAAAACAAACCATCAACAAAATGACAGGCCCACGCTTGTTTTAGGTGTCACTCAAGGCGTACAGGTCCAGATAGACACGTTCAAACGTCAACCAACATTTTAAATGGTCTGCGTTGCATTAACACAACACCATTAAAATTGTTGCCTAGCTCACCAACCCATTTAAGATGCCTAGCTCAACCACATACTTCGAGTATCACAGACATGTATCCGTCCAATTAACCCCCCGTACAATTTTGGTATTCATTAATTTGCTATATTAAGTGCTAATCTTAGAGCACAGATAGACTGCTCGGATTTCATCCTCGCATGGCACCATGTCCCAAAAATCCGCGTCCTAATCTCAGATCGCTTCTTTGTTAACTGTTGATTGCGATATCTTTTTCTTTACAGAAACGAAGGAGCTGACTCTAGAATTGGTAAGCAAAACATTATTACAACATGAATGATAAATCTGTTTTTCTAATATAAAGATCCTTATAAACCTAAATAACTACTCTCCCTGTAACTTAATATAAGACGTCTTACATTAAGTTATGGAGGGAGTATTAACTACCAAGTTGTCCGTCGCTACAAGCACACTACTTCCTCTCTTTTTGTCTGCATATAATTTTGTCTGAAGTTAAACTTTGTAAATTTCGACCAAGTTTATAGGAAAAAAATCAATACTCACAATAAGAAATTAATATCATTAGATGTATCATGAAATGGTTTTTTCATACTATATAACTTTAACATTGTAAATGTTGATATTTTGATATATAAATTGAAGGAAATATGCCCTAGAGGCAATAATAAAGTTGTTATTTTATATTTCCTTATTCATGATAAATGTTTATTATTCATGCTAGAATTGCAGTAACCGGAAACTTGATACATGTGTGAATACATAAACACAAAACACCGTGTCCCTAGTATGCCTCTACTTGACTAGCTCGTTGATCAAAGATGGTTAAGTTTCCTAGCCATGGACATGTCTTCTCATTTGATGAAGGGGATCACATCATTAGGAGAATGATGTGATGCGCAAGATCCATCCGTTAGCTTAGCATAATGATTGTTCAGTTTTATTGCTACTGCTTTCTTCATGTCAAATATATATTCCTCCGACTATGAGATTATGCAACTCCCGGACACCGGAGGAATACCTTGTGTGCTATCAAACGTCACAACGTAATTGGGTGATTATAAAGATGCTCTACAGGTATCTCCGAAGGTATTTGTTGGGTTGGCATAGATTGAGATTCGGAGAGGTATCTCTGGGCCCTCTCGGTAATGCACATCATATGAAGCCTTGCAAGCAATGTGACTAATGAGTTAGTTGCGGGATGATGCATTACGGAACGAGTAAAGAGACTTGCCGGTAGCGAGATTGAACTAGGTATGAAGATACCGACGATCTAATCTCGGGCAAGTAACATACCGATGACAAAGGAAATAACGTATCTTGATATAGCGGTTCGACCGATAAAGATCTTTGTAGAATATGTGGAAACCAATATGAGCATGGAGGTTTCGCTATTGATTATTGACCGGAGAGGTGCCTCGGTCATGTCTACATAGTTCTCGAACCCGTAGGGTCCGCACGCTTAATGTTCGATGACAATATGTATTATATGAGTTATGTGTTTTGGTGACCGAAGTTTGTTCGGAGTCCCAGATGAGATCACGGACATGGCAAGGAGTCTCGAAATGGTTGAGAGGTAAAGATTGGACACCGGAAGGGTTACATAATATATCAGGTACATATCGAAGTATCAGAGGGGTTACCGGAACCCAGCGGGAAAATATATGGGCCATATGGGCCATAGGAGGGAGGCTAACCAACCCACAAGGGGCTGGCCGCCCCCACCAGGGAGGAGTCCTAATTGGACAAGGGGTAGGGGCGGCGCCCCCCTTTCCTTCTCCTATTCCCTCCCCTTCCCCCTTTCC